ACTCCCTTCTGGACGTGGAAGCCCGTCCCCGCCCCCCACCTCCTGAGGGCGGGAAGGAGGGCTGACGCCTCTGCCCTTCGCCCCAGCCCGGGCGCCCCGCACGGCCCCTCGGCCGCCCGCAAGCTGCAGTGGGACCCAGAACCAGCAGAAATGAGGGGCTTCAGTCTCGGGCCATCGTTTCCAATAAAAGTTTTGTTTACTAGAGAAGATTTAAACGCACCAGAAACGTTGAAGGAAATAAGTGGCCGGCTCCCTCTGACCAAAGCAGCCCCGTTACATCGCACTCCGAGCGGAGCCCCGAACTGGCTGAAACAGGTCAGAAAGCTAGTGCTTCCCCAGCTGATTCTCACAGACAGACGACTACTTTTGGGAGGCTGCTTTTCGCGCATCTATAACAGTCCAGGAGAACAAGCAAGCTCTCCCTTTCGGAAGCGTGTGCTCTTAGCGGAAGGACGCAGGACAGACGCGTCTAGAATGCACTTGTAACACGTGTGCACACGCGCACTACACACAAGGACGTCCTTCTGTGTGAGAAATACAGTGAACAGCCAGCACACCCCACAGCTGTGTTTCCCTGCTGCCACGGGCCGAACCTTACACGTGTTTTTCCTTGAACGGAATCTTTCCAGAACGGTTTGTGCTCCTCTGGTAGCTTGTCTGAACACGCTGGCAGAAAACTCCGGCTGAGATGCTGGGGGACCGCTCCCCGCCACGTCCTCAGCCCAATAATTCCCCACTCCCGCCCTGACCCTCCCAGATTCTGCTTCACGGCGCTCACAGGGGGGACATTCGCTTCACCCGCTAAGGTTTTGACATTGCTCATGGGGGAGCAGCGGCCGCGCCCCGAGCCAGGAGGGAGGTGGGGGGGGGCGCAGGAAGGAGCCGCCTGGAGGCTTCACCTGCGCTGGCCGGCAGGGCGCGGGGCCGAATGTGGGGAACTTCCTGACGGTTTGGGTCACAGTCTGAACCCACATGCTTTAGCTGCCATTCAGAGGCAGCTGGCAGACTCGGGGTTACACGAGCAGCTGCCTCTGACCCGCAGACATGGCAGGGGGGTCCGCGAGCTCTGCCGCCCTGCGACACAGTAATGACGCTGACAAACAGAACTTTTATGTTGCTTTTCCTTAGACGGGTCCAGAAAATACTCTCTAAACCCCAGCGACACTTAAACACTGTCCAGTAGCCGAACACGCTGCGCCTGGTCCCGGTGAGCGGCGACCCGTGGGGCAGGTTCCTGAAGGGACTTGGGCGCCAGGGGCACAGAGGCCGCAGCCCTGCACTGCGGCCCTTCCCGGCCAGATGCCTCGCACTTCCCTGTGCCATGGATGTGGCACCCCGGGGTCACAGCCGCACCCTGCGGTGGGGGCGTAGACCGCCCGCCAACGGAGGGCGTCCGGGGTGCGTCCCTCCCCTGCCCAAGCCCAGGGCAGCGTGGAGGCCACAGCTGTCACGTGACGGCAGTCCCACAGCCCGAGCCGGCTGGACAGCTCGCCACGTCCCTCTCCAAGCTCCTGACGTCCAGGAGCAGCGGCCTCCAACGCTGCATGGGTGACCCCGGAGCCCGTCTTTGTGCGACGCCGGCCCCGCACGCAGCACCCCGCGCCCCCGGACTCCCCATCCCGCTCCGAGATCCCCACACACAGCACCACGTGCTCCTGGAACCCCCCTCAGCCAGCCAGCCGCCCGAGGCCTCAAGGAGGGTAAGGCCTCACCTACCTGCCTCCACCACACACCTGGGGCGGGGGGCTACAAGACCCCAGGAGGCGGAACGCCAGCGCTGAGCGAGCCGCCAGCCCCAGCCACACGTCCTCGTGGAGTGGAAAGCGGCCAGCACGCAACTGAAAAGTTTTCACAATCCAGTTTTACAACAGCTTGGTTTGGTTGATGCACATACGCCTTCCTGGCATTACATTCCCGTCTTTTCTTAAGAAGGTTTTACAAGGGGAGAATGAGAAACAAAGGTAAATCTTTAATAAACGAAAGATGCAGGACATGCCGTCCTCGCCAGCACCCTAGATCCAAAACCCCACTGAAACGTCACGTCAGCCCCGGGCTGCACAGTTCATTTTCTCAAGTGATCAAATACGATAATCACCTTCGTGGAAACCTAAGCAAGTCCCAAAATACCGTCAGCAAAATAAGCCTAGTCGTCAGCCCTGCAGACCCTGCAGGGTTAACAAAGTCAAAGCTTCAGAGCCCACGGATGACTGGGGGGCACCCAGCCCTCACGTGCCGCCGGCGCCTCCGACATGACTGACAGCTGTCGATGGAGACGCGACGTCGGCAGGAACTTATGGAAGCGACTGTTACGCCACTTCCCGGCCGATGTCCGCCTGCCCCCCTCCACACACACACACACACACACACACACACACACACACACACGCGCGCACACACACGCACACGTTTACGGAAGGTGGGTAACGTGAACCCGATGGCTGCGGCACAGAACCACACGCGCGGCCAATGGGCCAACGTGGGGGCAGGCGTCGCACAAAGACGGGCTCCGGGGCCAACTTCCAACCCCCCGCCCCCCACGGCAGAGCGCGGCACGGCTTCCGGGCGACCGAGACCCCAGGACACCAGGCATCGAGGAGCAGGGAACAGGCTCAGGGCCACCAGGGTGCTCTGCTCACAGCGCCCTCGCCACCGCCCACTGGCAGCAGAGTGAGGGGATGTGGCCTTGGAGGACGTGAGTGGCCCTACGTGCATGAGCCGAGTTGGGGGACAGGGATGCCCCCCTCCAGGTGGACGAAGGCAGCATCTGAGCCCATGACAAAGGCTCCCAAGCAGAAGCCCGTCGACAGACACGCCGACCCAGAGGGTGCCAGAGGGGAATCTATCCACAGCTCCAGGAAGCCCTACTCACCCCACATCACTTAAAACAAAAAAAAACAGAAGAGAGAACACTACCTCACGCAGGCAGAATGATCCGAATGCCGAAACCTGAACACATTGCAGAGAAAATGAAAATGACAGACTAACATCCCCCGTGAACTTAAACGCTGAAATTCTAAACAAAAGAGCAAACTGAAATCGATAGAAGTTTCCTCCTGAAATGAGGGCTATAGTTCGGCACTTCCAGACTCACTCGAAACCCTAGTTGACTTCGGCACATTTAAAAGATAAAACCATTTGACAAAATGCAACCGTCTGAGGAATCAGCCCCAGCCTGAGGACACCCATGACACCCGAAGGTCCTATCAGTGTGGTGACACACTGGAGGAAGGGCAGGAGGTCCCCGTCAGGGCTGCCGGAGAGCACACCGGAGGGTCTCGCCAGTGCGGTGACAGCAGAGAAGACGAAGGGGTAAAGGTCACACAGCCGCGGACGTGCTTTTCTCCTACACAGATAATTTTTATGTTCTCTACTTTTCAAATGTCCCTTCCCAAAATCACACGGGTAGGTATGTATAATAGTGACTGTTGGGTACCCCCCGAATCCATTTCCCAGCTCCCCCTTACGCACGGAACCCTAATTTTAGCCCATACATGACAACCCAGCATGCTTCTGGGGAGGTGTGGCCACGTGCGAGTGTCCTGGACAACGACATGTTAGCTGCTCCTTCCGGGAAGCGAGGTGGCCTTTCCTTTATCTGCTGCCTGGAATGTCAGCGTGGCAGCTCGGTCCCCGGAGGCTTGGCCTGAAGCCCCAGGACGAGGACCGCGGCCTGCAGATGGAGAGGAAAGCTGGGAGGTGGCCGAGGCTCCAGGGACGTTCCGGCCCCCAGCGCCCGCCCCCACGGCTTCCTCGCCGCTCCCCGACATGCTTCGTGAGGGCCACCAGCTGCAGCTCACTGCGGCCATCACTTGGAGGCTGTCACGGCTGAGGCGATGCTAACCCGACTCACGAAGCACCCGAAGTAGCTGCTCAGGACGAGGCCCCGTCGTCATTCGGGGCTCAGACCCGTAACAAAGATTTAACTCAGCATCTCCTACAATGCTGATTTTCTTCCCCAAATTCACCTGAAAGTGTTTTTTAAACCAAAAAAAAAAATTTCAACACAATTTCTGTGACTTATTGTGCAGCTGAACATGCTAAAAGACAAAACGTTTTTCCTTACAAATGACCTGACACCTGTGGCTCTCTGAACGCTCCGGCCGGACGCTTCTCGTGGGGCTGGAGAAGCGTGTTCGCATCGCTCAAAGGTTTGCTTACTCTGTCTTAAGGCCGTTGCTTGTAGCACACAGCTCCCCAGGAGAAACCTCGACAGCGGACGTGAAGACGTATTTATTACGGCACCTGCACTCGCCACGCCGTTTCTGACGGGGGCCCGTTAAAATCGACGTTTATGTTTGTTATTATTCTCTCTGTTCTTGGCATTGTGATTATTAGCCAGTTAAGAAACACCGATTGGGCGGTTTCTGCCTGTGTCAGAAACAACGAGAGCTGCATTTTAACTCGAGGCCTCACCGTCAGTGAGCGGAGGAAGAGAAGGTTAGGAAGAGCCTCCGTTCTTTATGCCTTTGCAACCAGAGAGACGCAGCAGGGATGGTTCACGAGAGGAACGTGCCCTGGAAACGCACACCGCGCGTCGTGCGGGAAAGGGGGTGCGCACACCCCGACTGCCAGCGCCTGAGGGACGGGGGGCACCCACCCACCCCGTGAGGCGACTCTGGGACTTCAGGATGAAACTCACCTGGCAGGCTGACCGGGGAGGCTGCGCCCGGTTTGAAGGGCGAGCTCAGGCAGCACCTCCCGGAGCCCGCGCGTCCAGGGGTCCTGACCCAGCAGCCGCTCCGTAAACGCACTCGGTAACCAAGCGCCCGGGAGCCACCGCACAACGGCTACGTCCCCCGCCCAACTGGAGGTGGACGGCCTCGGGCAACGAGCCCAGGTGCCCGACGAGGACACTCACGGCGCTGTCGCGAGACGCTCGCTTCTGGGATTGGTGGCACGTGGCTCCGTGCTACCCGTGACCCGTGGAGCACAGCAGGAACCTGTTACCCCCTCTGCTGCTCTGACCCCCCGCCACAGATGTGTCACATACGGTCACTTACTCAGTGTCCGGGGTCTTCCTGCCGAGCAGCCTAATCCCATGCACTCCTTGCCGACAGCCAGAGACCTCGAGTGTCCCCAAAGGGCTGGTCACCCTCCTGAACATCAAGTCACAGGCCTTCTCCATTCTCCTGAGCACCTAAGAAAACAATTTTCGAAGTAAGCGTACGTGAAAGAGCCGAGTTTCTTTTATTTTTTATTTACGCCTACAGCACCCGGTGTGGCCTCCCATCCAAGCACTAACCAGGCCCGACCCTGCTTAGCTTCCGAGCTCAGACGGCAGCGGGCTTGTGCAGGGGGACGTGGCCGCAGACTAGGTTTCCTGTAAAGCACAACAGAAGCGCCAGTCATTCAAGACGTAAAACCTCTTCACAGTTCCTCCCCATTTCGGGAATCTGATCCTAAAACGTCATTCTCACAAGTTACTGGGAAGAAAGAAAACCAGCTGTCCGCCTGGAACGGCCGAGCAGTGGCACTGTCCTCCGCTTCCTGCCCCCCCCCACCCGCCGCGTCCTCGTTTGTCCGTGAAACGCGCCGGAGGCCGAAGCTCCGCAGCTCCGCACCCGCATGGCACCCAGCGCGAAGCGGCCCCGGCTTCGCTGATACGACCCGCTCGCCGGCAAGTCCCTCGTTCACGGGAACTGCAACCGAAACACGGTATTTTGAACAAAGTTTGTTTGAAAACAAAGCCCGTAAGAAACGGGCTGCAGAAACGGAGCCTGCCCGGCACTGTGCCCGGCCGCGTGTGAGCGGGCGGGTGGGGAAGCGCACGTGCCTCACTCACCTGCAGAGACACGGACAGGTGCACGACGACACCCTGCGCTGGAGCCTCCACGTGAACTGACAGACACTAGTTTCGGTCAACATAACAAAGGCCTAAAAGAAGAGCTGTGCTAAGAGCAGTGAGAAGCATGGTGGGGGTCGGGCGAGCTGGCCCCCCTGACCGGGGCGGGGGGAACGGGTGCAGGGGGCCTGGGGAGTGACTGACGGACCTCCTGAGCCAAACGTGCCTGTGGCCTCCTCCCACGACTTCTGCACGCAGGCCCAAGGCGGCGTCTCCTGCCCGTGATCTTATGTATCAGCGTTTCCCAGCAGCCCAGCTCCGGCCGCAATCACGAGGATAAACCGGCACAGCTGACGCCTCGCCAGCGGGCCCGCCCGTGAGCACCGGGCCGGAAGCCGGACGGCTCCCGCCCTTTCTCTACCTCCACGTCTTTGCCCTGGAGGAACCTCGGAGGACCTGTCCAAAGCCGTCCCCGGCGTCGACTCCCTCCTGCATGGAGCACTTGCGTGAGGGCCTGCCATCCGGCCCGGCCCCCGCCCCTCGCCCCAGCCCCACCTTCACACACCTGTGCGCACCAGCCCCACCTGCCCCTTCACACACCTGTGCGCACCAGCCCCACCTGCCCCTTCACACACCTGTGCGTGCACAGGCCCGGGTCTCGTGCACAGCGCTCACTTCCACGCCGCCCGCCCCGCGGCCCCGTGGCACGTGGGAGGGCGTCTCGGGTGTGCTGCTCACCTGGGCCCTTCTCACCTGAACACCAAGCCAACGGGTAATGACAGCAGAGGCCGCAGCTGCAGTCAGCAGCTCCAGGCTAAACCCCGCCCGTCACCTGCTTTGTAGAGTTTCCTTGGGAGCAGCCAGGCTCCCGTTTGCACACGGGCTGTGGCCGCCCGCACGCCCCGGGGTGGAGCTGGCCGGCTGTGACAGGAGGGATGGCATGACCCTGAAACAGGGACCTTCGGGGCCCCGCCCGCCCAGCAGCCTGAGTCCTTGGTGCCCTTTCATTCCGTATGGCTTGGAGTCCCAGCTTTGACCCTACTGTCCTCTCAGCTGGACTGTCCTCTCCCTGCCTGTCCAGGGTGTGTCACGTCGCCTGACTGCCCACTGTGCTGTGAAACCTCCGCCCAGCCCACTGTCCACGTGCTCGTCCCTCCTCCGCCCCTGCCTGCTCCTAACACCACACAGAGTCAGGTGACCTGCTCCTAACACCATGCGGGGTCAGGTGACCTGCCCCTAACACCATGCGGGGTCAGGTGACCTGCTCCTAACACCACGCGGGGTCAGGTGACCTGCTCCTAATACCACACAGAGCCAGGTGACCTGCTCCTAACACCATGCGGGGTCAGGCGACCTTGCATCTTGAGGTCAAGCCATGTCCCCCAATACACAAGAGTCCATCCTGAGCCCCCCTTCCCTGTGCACGTGGACGGTCTGACCCGGACTCCTGCCCAGACCCCTCGCGTGCACACAAGCTTGCTGGGGTCCTGGCATATCCACCTGACGTCAGAGACCCCCTGACAAGTCACCTCCCAGGGCGCCCACAGCCCGAGGGACACAGACAAGCTACCGAGAGGGTCTCTGCCCCACCACCACTACGTGGGGGCAGGAATCCCATGCACGGCCCGGCACACTGAGGTCACCTAAACTCGGCCACACTGCTTGCCCTGAGTCACAGGATCGGCACGGGAGCAGCAGGAACGTGTGTGAGGACCTGGCACCCGGGAGGGACTTAGAGACGGTTACACCTGGTGCAATCTACTTTGCAACCAAGTGGCCTTGGTCTTCGATCCTGGCACCAGAAGGCTCTGCCTGCTCCTCCCTAAAATCTTACCCAGCAGCATCAGAATCTGATCACTCTGCAGAGCAGGTGGCCACACCTCCTCGCAGCCCCCTGGGGCCCTAGCTCAGTTCCCGGAGCCAAAAGCAACTGCTGCCCCCACCCTCCCACACCTGGGGACACTTCCCAGCCCCCTGAGCTGCTGGTAGGGGTGAGGGTTCTGCCGTGAGTGAGGGGCCCCCTGAAGGCAGCGCACCACACACGTGTGTTCAGCTGGTGAGCAATGCGTCCACCATGCAGGCCCAGGGCCCAGCACCATGTGCTCCAAAGCACGTTCCCAGGTGCTGGGGGCAGGGCGAGCAGCCTGGACCTGCTGCCCCTCCTGGGGACCCCACCCTGCACGTCAGCGTGTTACGGCTTGGGGCGGCCCTGCAGCAAAACCAGCTTACGTTTGTTTACATAGCTTTGCAAACATGTCCCCATGACCTGGCCCTCCCTGGGAGCACGGGGCCATCAGGCCGGAGGCTGTCGGCGGAGCGGGCTCGGGCCTCAGATGTGGAGCATGACATGCCCCAGCCCCATCTCGGGCTGGCTCCTAACAGCGAGCCTCAGACGCTGGCACCAGCTAATTGAAGCACAAAGCCACTTACTGAAAGTCCACTCCGTAACTCACGGAACTTCTGGGGAGGCTGCAGAGGGGGGATCCGAAAGCTGTAGGAACCCAGGCTGGGCAGGGTCCAGCCCCAGCCAAGACCGAAAGCCTCAGGGAACATCTGTGGGGACAGCCAGGGACTGCGGGCGTGCAGCTGGCGCTGCTGCCACCGCTGCCCTGGAAACGGGGCGCGAGAGTCGCCGTCGATTCCCCGTGGCCCGGCCACCCTGTCACTCACCTCTGATTCAAGGCCCAGGCTGGAGCCCAGAGCTGGCTCGGGGGCCAAGCCAGCACACGCCCGTGCCGAGTGGCAGGGGACAGGGACAGCTGCCAGGAGAGGAGGGCTCTGCCCACGTCGGCCCCCGACGGAGGATTCGGGTCCAGCACTGGTACGGAAAGCAGGCTGGCACACACCCCGGCCAGGAGGACGGTCGAACGTGAGAGGCCCACCCCGTTCCCGGGCCGCGCTTCTCTCATCGGCAAAGTGGGAGTAACAAGAACATTGACTCCGGCAGCCTCGCCGGCTGCTCCGTGGGGCCACCTGGGAGACACGGGGGAGCCGTGAGCGGGAAAAGACCCTCGCCCTCCGCAGGACACAGCCCCACCTCGCCCCGATGCCTAGAGCCAGGTGAGCGGCGGGGGGTCCGGCAGGTCGAGGGTCGGGCGGAGAAGGTGGTGCAGACGCAGGGTCACCAGGGCCTGCCTGTCGGATGCCCCCACGGGGGAGGAGAATCTTGCGCGCAACTAAGCCTCGTCCCAGCGGCCAGGGTCTGGCCACAGGCCGGACCATAGCGGGGAAGGGCAGGAGCCAGGCTGGGCGTGGCTCGAGCTGGAATGGCCACCTCTCCCCAGGTGACGCCCCGCACACCTCACCTGCACTTCTGAACTGAGCAGAAGGACTCTGCAGCCCGGCTGCCACCACCGAGCCGTGTGCCGTCCCTGCCCAGCACGTGGCCCTGTCACAAGTCAGCCCGGTGCCTCCTCCGAGGTCTGCCGTCTGCACCCCTCGTCCCTCTGCAGACCTGTGCGGCCGCTGGAAGCCACAGGACACCTGAGTCCACCATCCACATCACGCTGGACCCGACAAAGCCACCAGTCCCTAACCGGGACGCTGACCAGTCCAAATCTGAGAGCAGTGCCTGTCATTCCCAGCCACGTCCTATCAACTGACCGCTTAGGGACGTGACGTCTGAGGGGTGAGCTCCCAGACTTCCGTATCGGTTAAACAGAATCGAAATCACACTGCACTTCAGTTTCCTCAAACGAGGGGCCTCGCTGGCACCGCCCCCCATGACGAAGGCCTGGTTCCCACAGCCCCTCCCGGACACGGCCCGGCCGGACTTCCGCCAGTGCCTCTGGGGTGTGAGCCTGTTAGCAGGACCACCGCTAGTCAGAGATAATGCACCAGCGACAACTGACTGCTACTTTGCCAAAAAAAAAAAAAAGTGGCAATTTTAACATAATTTTCCATCGACCCTGCCAGGAAGGGGATTTGAGGCTGCACACACCCGTGTCCCGCTCCGTCCCACACGCAGCAGGACGCGGGCCTGGCCGGGGGAGGTGCACACAGCAGGGACCGGGGAGGCAGGCGATGTGGCCCGGGGTGCCCAGAGAGGTGTGTGGGGGACACGTGGCCAAGGGCCGGCCACACAGCCTGGTAGGCCGGTGTCAGGTCTGGCTTTTCCCCTGGGAATCCCAAGCTTTAAACGGAGGAGAATCCGCCAGGTTCTCCTTGTCAGAAGCTCCCTGTGGCAGCTGCCACGTGGGTGGGAGCGGAGGCTGGGAGTCGGTGAGGAGTGGACCCACCGAGGACGGATGAAGAGCTGGGCCGGCACAGGGGCAGAGGGACACCGGGAACGGGTGGTCAGTAACGAGCGTACCAGATGCTCGTGCGTGGTGCCAGAGGCTGGGAGGAGGCGACAG